GATTAAAACAAATAATTTTTTTTTGGAGCTACATGTATCAATGTTGGTAATGTTTTACCAAATTAAGAGATCAGTCCTGTTAGCGTTTTATTTATAAACATTATATAAACAAACATAATTAAAAAATGTTTTGGTTCATATTTACATAATCTGCTGTGCATGTGCATCATAAGCTATCATACACAATACATCTGTGGGTCAGTTTATCCTAAAGATAGCTATTTGCAGCAGATTACACTGTTTTCTTGAAAGGCTTTTTGATAGGCTCTTGCTCACTTGTTCCCCTTTCAGACGCATAGGTGACCTATGGAATTACCTTTGTGCATCCGTGTGTCCATGCGTCCGTGCAATGTCAATAATTTGTGCTTTTAAAATTGTCAAATTCATTTCTAGTTAACTGCATCCATTCTTAATTAATCATGGATGATTTTATTGATTGTAAACTAATGAACTCACCCTTGATATGTGTTGCTAAAGCTATAATACAGTATCGATGGCAGTGAAGGTGGACCATCACGAATCTTCTGAATACAATCCTTCAATGACCTCAACATCACTGAACTGCTAGACTTCTTTTTAGCTGCCTCAGTTTCCACGGAAATATTGGTCTTTATGAAACCGTTCTCATTTGGGTCATGATCTCCATTGTGAAGACCTTGAACTGGAACAGATGGATGATCAAGTTTATTAAAATCATTTTCTGAATTTATTTTTATTTTTTAATTTCAAACATTCACCATAACTGTGATGAAATGGTCACCTATTATTAGCATGTGGATATTGTAATCATTCAGAACAGAATTACCATTATATTACGAAGTGCATCTCCAATAACATGAACCAACATTTGCTTCACCAAGTAAGTAAATGCTAGAGCATTAAAGTTTCACTCTGAGATCATTCAGATGACTGTATTTTTAAAGGGGTCGTGAAACTATTTTGTGAGATATTTCATTTGATAGTCTGAAATTGCGTGAATTGATGCAAATATATGTAGTGAGTGTTCAGTTTTTAAAGTTTGTCAGTGCATACAAATGCTGGAAATCACCTCTGCTTTCCATTTGATTTTGTGTTAAATGAAAGACATTCCAATGTACACCCACCCCTAACTCTAACCCCTCAATTCAGTTGTACCCGGTATATGCCCCTTTAGATAATTAAAGGCATAAACAATTAATTTGAGGGGAGGGAGGGCAATAAAGGGTGGTGATCAGATTAGAGTTTTATTAGAGGTGGAATTGGAGAGTTTTTCCATGTTAAAACATCATTTGCTAACATTTTTGAATAGTGTTGTGGCATGAGTGAAATCACAAAGATTTTCTACTATTTCAGAATACTGTGACCCACAGTGATACAAAACATGGGTGAATCCAGATGGATTGTTGTATATGGATTGTTTCCTGAAGTGAAGCCCATTAAATGTTGCACAATACCAAATTAAATGAAACTCTGAGAATGAATGAAACTTTAAAATTAGACTTAATTCACCCACAGACACTGATATAAGTTCCCTGTTAAAGTAATCACCAACATTTATAAAACTTGTGTGGGCAATATTAATGTATGCTACTTGAATAAATAATACACATGTATCTGATATTAATGTGCTTTTACAGAAAATAACACATAAAATGTGTTCTTGGAATAAAATAAAAGATGAGAAATCCAAAGCATATAATCTGATTAAATAATATGTTAGATCAATGAGACTGACTATTTTCTTTGAAAAAAATGAAATATAATAAATTGAATATTGTCGAGTTGTATCATAAGCATCCCATGTCACTCATACAACATGTATATATCTGCAATGTACTTTATTTTCACTTGGAATTTATTTTCGCTGAAGATATGAAAAATATAATCTAGTGAAAATACCTTTTTTCCTATATTTTAACATTCACGTCATCACAAATCAGTGAAAATAATCTTAAGACAAAATTTCTCTTCAGCGAAAATTAATTCCAGTAAATTGAAGTATTACAATGTTTGTTACATAAAACTAAAATGCACACTGCAAATAAACTTACCTACAACATGAAGGTGATTATTAAACATTTTCAATAAAATTGTATTATCATTACTTTGTAGGTAACGTAATAGGTATTCTAATGTTGTATTGGATAACTGGATCAGGTACTTACTCTCACTAAACAGAAAACAAAATTAAACTTGAAATTTAATCATTTACAAGATGGGATAGGAACTTACTTGGTCCCCCAGCAATATACATTATGTCAGCAGTGATAAACTGAATAGACTGTCATTACCCTTTTCACCGCCAGACTTTCTCTGCCACATTTTCTGCACTTTTTTCTTAAATATTTCTGGATATGACCCCTAATTTTGGAGTCAATTTAAGTCAATTATTAGTTTTCAAAAATTTTGCTATTTTTGTTCCAATCTTCTGGAGGAATGTGCGGACTATAAACTATTTTGTGAATTTGTGATGAAATTAGGCGAGGGTTCTCCGAACCCGCCTATTCACATAGTTCATACCCACCATAGACTCCGGTCAGTCAAAATGACTATTTTGAACTGTAGGCATTAATCAGATTCTGTCGGTGACAGAGAGATAGAATCTAGGTCAGGGGAATTTAAGCCCCATGACCCAAGATTCTTTACGCCTTACGTCACGAACCCACGTGACCGAAAGCCACATGGCAGTGCCATAGGCAGCCGTACAATCACTCTGGTTCCTTTCTCTCCGCCTCGAGGACTTAGACCAACGCTACGGAAAGAGTGGGGTGGTTGGGGGGGGGGGTCTATGGTGGGTATGAACTGTGTTAATTGGTGGGTTCGGAGAACCCTCGCCTAAATTCACTACGATCAATTACCCACCATAAACTCCGGTCAGTCAAAATGACTATTTTGACCTGTAGGCAGAGTCAGACGCCCAGTCCGGGATGAAAACAAACTCAACACCCTAGTTAAGACCCAAAAATGGGTGGTGTCTTATCTTGCCTGTGCTGTCCCCGGAGCA